ACTGCGCACCAGCAAGTGCTTCTGGGCAACGATAGCCCCGGCTCGAAACCTCACCGTCGTGACGTTGGTGGCATCCGCGTACGAGTTGGAGGTGAAGATGCGCGGGTCTGTACACCGCAGGTACGAGTCGCCGTAGGCTTGGCGGGCCTCCTGGACTGCGCGGATCGGAGTGGCGGTGTACGGGGCTCCCGCCGCGACCGTCCAGCCTACGCACGTCGGCGGGAGCTGGGTCTGGATCTTCCGCAAGTAGCGCCGAGAGATGCCGTCGCCATAGTACATGACGTGGGCTTCGTAACCCAGGTCCACGTTGATGCGGTGGCAATAGCTCGCCGTTTTCCCGCCCGTGGGCATGGCTTCTTTGCCTTCCATGAACCCGATGCTTCGGCACTGGCCCGGCTTCGCCGCGTGCAGCGCGTCGAGAATGATTTGGTCGCGTGACGTCGCGGGGGTGAAGTCGAAGAGGCCGTTGGCGACGTCGTCGAGGAAGACAGCCTCGCGCATGAGAACGACGTCGATAAGCGAGGACGTGGCGGCGAACGACACGAGCGAGTAGATGTTGACGCTGACGTCGATGAGGCGCACGAAGATGCGGAGGAAGGCATAGCCGCGCGACATTGAGCGCGATGCGAGTTCTGCTGGTGTAGTAAACGGCGCGACTGGGCTCATTTTGGTCGGCTTCTTGGTCATGTCTGTTGTCTCTGGGTGCGCCGAACACAAGGGAGATGGCCAACTTGTAGCCGCAACGGTATTTAGCCAACTTGCAGCCGCAACGATATTTGGCTGACTTGCTACCGCAACGGTATTTGGATTGTGATTCTATGAGTGTATTTAACATCCAACTACTGTTCTATATAGACAACTCTTGGTATAGTTCTATCTTTCAACTTCCATCCGGATATGTTTGTTCGACGGGCTATTCGCGCATGCAACAAGGATCGCCGAATCCGGATACAGGGGCAGATGCCACCACACTCTGGCCCCACATGATCTACATGCACCGCCAACTGCTCTTTTACCTTCTTCACATAGGGCGATATATCATGTTTCTTGAACTCTGCCATTGTAAGAACATCGGCATACTTGGCCCAAAACCAAACGCATGACGCGGCGCCACCACACGTCGCCTCTTTAGCTAGAAAGTGCAGCTGTGTATCCGGAGACGTCCATCGACACAATATATTGAATACCAAGTCGACGAAGTCCATTAGCTGGCCTTTCATCGAAACTACATGGCGGCCATGTGACGCTCTGCCTCGAGATCGCATCGCCACTGGGTATCAGTTACTTGTAGAAGTTGGTGCAGCGATACCATGTGGCTCTCTCGCTTTTGCGACCTCAAGAGTTTGGCGCTAGAATAGTGCGCTGGGAACTCGGGTATCGGAGAAACCATTGATTTGATAGACAACTAGTAGTCTATTGTTCATTGCTAAGAGACTTAGCAGTAGCACTGCGCAAGGCTCAACCCAGGCGAGAACACAACACGAGCTTAGCAGCGCAAAAGCATGCAAGGCAGGTGGAAAGGGGGCGTCAAATGACCAAGTGCGAGCAAAGCTCCGCCACCCAAAAACCACCTCCTGTGAGAATATATTACATGGACATCATCGATTCTTGGAGACCATCGTTGGAGATACCTGAGACGAATGCGGCGTCTCTCAATTGCTCGACCCAAAGTTATCACTTTACGCATTGCGCGCCTTGCCTGACGGCAGTGGCAACGTCTCGTGGGCTGCTCGGCTCCCCAAAGTGTCTTCTATCACTGTACCCGCTTTTGGCGATTGCGTTTCAAACGTGATGTTGTCGACAAGTGGCGTCGGCGTCCGTGACGTCGGCGAGTGGTGCCTCTAAGATGACACTACGATCTTAGTTTGGAGTGCATCTTGGATCGTGTCTCGCTGCCACTGAACGCCTCGCACATCAACGCGACCTCGCATCCCGTGCTCTCCAATGCGTTCTCTACCAATGTGCCTCATCTCGGTGATTTAATCTCGGTGATTTCATTTTCAAAACAATGAATTGGTTATGCTGAATTGTGTGCCATGGGCCGAGAAAAAATGAAACAAATACAAAAGCTTGCCATACACTTGGTGATGACGGGAGTTTCTCCGCACACTCGCCAAAACATGCTTACGTACTTGGTGAAGCCGCTCACCGAACTGTCGATGTATCTGTCTATGGTGCTCGATATTTCGATATGGATGTGTGCATTCTACCTCGGCGATAGGGTTGAGCTCGGAAGAATCGTTGATTGAGACAGTTAGTAGTCTATCGCTCATTGCTCGGCACAAAATGTGGCGTCTAGAACCAGCCGCCGCAACGGAACGGCGAAAAGAGACCGCAGCCGCCGCCAAGACCCCAACCAAAGCCACCGCCACCGCAGATCGACCCAAAGCACTCCTTCTGGCCACCCTCGCGGAGGTTTTGTGGTGTCTGGCCTGCCTCCGCGCTCAGTTTGGCGATCGCTGGCGTGTCGACAGCAGCAGCGGCCGCAAAAGTGCTAGCGACGAGCGCGAGCGCGGTGACGACAAACTTGACCATGATGTGATGGAGACGCGGAGAAAGCAATACTGGATGCGCATCACTGTGTCGAGGCGGAGGAGGACAAACAGCCGCGATCTGTCATGGAATCGATCTTTCTCAGTCGCGACAATTTCCGTGATGGGATACGATCGTTGTTGGGTAATTTTTCTTGATGTTGGCATCCAACGGCGACGCGACTTGGTGTTTTGGACTCGCCAGACTAGTCTCTGTGCACCTGCAACGTATGAGCGATTTCATTTGAAATGGTCAATTCGTGATGCGAGGGTGGGCCGCAGCTGGGTGGGCCGCCGATGGTGAATCGCGAACGCCGTCTTGTCATAGGCCATAAAGGTTTTAATATTGGACCAATGAGAAGCGTCAGTGTCAGATCAGTAAAAATAGACAACGGCTCAGACCTTGGAGATCAATATGACGATCGTTCATCATCGTCCAGGATGCTCGTATCATGGCGCCGCCTGTGGGCACCGAGAGTAGATCTTGAGGAGGCGAGCCAAGCGCGTTGCGAGCCATGGAGATGATGTGCAGTCGCAGACCCGGCGTCGTTGACCACGAGGTGCGTGAGGCCAGTCGACCGTGTCGAGTTTCTGCCATGGTGCTCGTCTCGAACGTCGAGAGGGACGGTGGTGACGGACGCACTGCATTTGTTGTTGGTAACACGAGGCTTGGTCGCGGCAATGGAGGTGTCGTTGCCAGCAGCTACCGTGCTCGTCCGTCTCAGAGCGGCCATCAATGACAAGGCGCTCTTCTCGTTTGAAATACCGCATCGAGCGTCATCATCGACGCACGTATGCGTCCTATTCGTCGCAGTACTCGATAGAGATCGAGTGCATTCTTGGTATGCGACAACACATTGTTTTGTCATCGGCACTACAACACTTGGAAGGACAATGGAGCGTAGTTTACAGGGGTTTACAATCACATACTACACATTACTACATCTAGTAGCCGTAGAGCGCGCGCTTGCGGTGCCGAGCTCGGTGCGGCCGTCCTCGACGCTGGCGACGTTGGCCAACACTTCGACGAGCGGTCCGACAGGAGCAATCGAGAGGTTCTTGCTGCCCTTGGTGATATGCCGCAGCGTCTCGTCCAGTGACGCGACTGCCTTCGCAATGAAGCCGCGCTCGATGGCAGCGAGGACACCATCCGAGTGAAGTACGAGCGATATAAGCAGCGAAAACACCTGTGGCGAGGCGCCGTTGCGTGCCACGGCCGCCTCCCAGAGCTGCGCGTAGAACACACCTTGGGCAACCATCGCACGCTTCGATGTGTCGTTGGCACGGACGTAGTTGATCAGCAGGTCAAGTGCCACCAAGGCGGCAGGTGTGCTGACCGCCATCTTGCAAAGCGTCGTCTAGATGGTGGTCATGTGCCGCGAGAGCTCCAGCGCCGTCGTGTCGTCTTGCGCAGTCTTGGGGGCGAAGAAAAGACCGGTGAGAAGGCTTGCGTACAGCACAAAGCTGTCGGACGCTGTGATGCAGAGCAGTCGCATCGTGTCGGCAGCGCTAAGGAGCCGACGCCACGCCACGGCCATGAGGTTGTGTGTTGGCGCAATAAATACCTCGCCCGACTCGGCGATCGACGTGAGGGGCGATGCGAGCGGCGCTGGCGCCACCTCCGTGATGGCAGGCGAGAGCGAGAAGTTCGCCACGAGCAATATGGTGGCGTGGCGCTGCCAGCAGTCTCGGCTCGGTGCAGTGTACAAGCAAGAGGACGTCATGCGTAAGATGCTCGAGCTAGAGCCATCGGAATCAGCGCCGAGAGATAGCGCGCGCGCTGACGACTTGCGTGAGCGGCCGTCGAAAATTTGGCCAGGGCTCCGCCCAAGGGCCGACTCGGTGGCTCGTCACGCATGGATAGGCTGCGCCATACCTACCACGACGTCGCGTGAGCGCTTCGCCTGAGGCCTGCGCACGGCTTGCCACGTACCACATGCCTTGGGTGGCGGCGATGATCGGTTCCAGAACTGCGGCAAGAACACTGGTGATTGGCCACAAATCTAAAGCCTTGCCGCTCTGATTGGCTAAAACGCTTTCGCCTGGCTTTGAGGGAGACCGACGAGGAACGCTGCGTTGCGACCGAGCGATAACTCGTGATAGCGTATGCGTAGAGACTGTTCACGGAGTCTCCTCGAGCACAATGCAGCAGCGTCCGTGGTGCCTGAGGAGCCTCGTTGTCGTCTTTCTGGCGTCGCCGCCTGTGGTTCCAATTGGTGTTCGCCATTTACAACCATAAATAACCATATTTTGGTGTTCCCAGGCCCGCCGCGCCGGCGGATCGACCAGAATCAAGTTTGAAAATGAAATCGCCCATACTTGCCAGAGTGCTAGACCACATTTTGGGAGTATAAAGTGCTATATGGCGTCGCGGTGCGAGCTCTGTAGCGAGAGCAAATGACAGCGGAAACAATATTTTGATATAGTGTGATTTTTCGCTATACTGAAATACTGTACGGGATACAAGGCCTCATCACGCAGCGGTATCGCGCGCACTTTGCCTCTCTCGGCCACATGCAACACGCTCTCTAACACGAATAAAAAGAGACGGCGTCCTCAGTTTCCGCGACTTTGACGCATTTTCAACCGAAATTGCATGTCGTATTTCGTGAAAACCGACGCTCGGCAGTTCGAGTTTGGTGTGAGTGCCCAAGCAACGACGGCGACCCACAAACTGGTCGCACACCGGGTCAAGACCCATTGCCAACTGTGGCAGCCAGTCTTACGGTCCTTGGAGCATTGGAACCCCGCGATGTCACGTGAAGTATTTGGGCAATTCTGCAACCACCGCAAAACATGATAAATGGATTTGCGCGTGATTGCGCTACGTGCAGCGTCGGAAACGACATGTACGTCGCTCAGAAAGTGT